CCGCGTCCGCCGCCAACCGTGCCGGGGCGGAGCCGCCGCGGCCGCCGCGTCTTTTGAAAGTTTGCACCGACAGTGGGAGAGGCCCGGCCGTTCTCCCGCGCTCGCCCTTCCCGCGCGGGCCTCGGTGCCAGCCCGCCTGCGGCCCTTGCAGATTTATTCTGCCACTTATAGAGGGCTCGCCGGGTGCCAAGGCTTTCTGCAGGGCGCTGGGCGGTGGTGGACCCTGAGCTCGCGGGGTGGGGGGCGGGGGGGGGCGCCGTGCTGGTCCTGTCCAGCCAGGGTGACTAGGGTAGGGGTAGGCACTTCTCCATTCCCTAAGCCACGAGGCCTAGGAGGAGAGAGTTGAGTAGTGTGTAAAATGCACAGGGAACCTGCAGTCCTTAGTTCACTGTCATTCCTTTAAAAAGTACTACACCCTATATGCCTGTGTTGGGCCTCCAGACACAAAGTCCAGGCTATCAAGGAAGGGACAGGCTAGTGGTGGACACAGAAATGACAAGCAATTGAGGCCACATAATACGGTGATCAAAGCCAGCAAGAAAATTAAGAGCGGCAGGGTGGCACTATTTGGGGGCTTTGGGAGAATGTGTGTGTGTGTGTGTGTGTACTCTATCTGAACGGTAAGCAGGAAGTTGTGGGAAAAGGTGGGGAGTGTTGGGAGGGGTCTTTTCTGAGCACCCTCACGGTAAGCAGGAAGTTGTGGGAAAAGGTGGGGAGTGTTGGGAGGGGTCTTTTCTGAGCACCCTCACGGTAAGCAGGAAGTTGTGGGAAAAGGTGGGGAGTGTTGGGAGGGGTCTTTTCTGAGCACCCTCCTGCTCCCAGCTCTGGCCATCATCTGGGAGTGAAGCTACTGCTCCATGCCCTGCCTGGTTCCTGTTCATAGGCTGAACATTAAGGGAGATGATGTGATGGCTGATCTGAGATTCCATGTCTAACCATTACTTTTCTTTCTGCCTCTAGTTTCCATGCTCTGTATCTCTATCACTGTAAGAATCAGGGTTATCACCCCCGCAGACAGGGTGGCTGAGCCCATCTCCCAGCTGCTGAGGGCAATCCCCCCACCCCCAGCTGTGTAAATAAAAAGGGATGCCCAGAAGCCAGCTACCTGCCTTAGCTTCAACCATGCCCTCAGAGTTTCCACCTCCAGAAAGCATGCCCAGACCTATCCCATGTGGAACATAAGGTGGCTTTGTGTTGAATTTCTAATTTCTCAATTACAAGTGCTCTCAGTTACTTAATCTTTCTCCTCAGATTCTGGTGGGGAAAGGTACTTTAGCTGGGTGGGCCTTTGGTCTCTCTGAGCCTGGGATGTTTATAGAGGTTGCCATTGCTATAAAAGGAATCTCTGAGGAATTTCACTGAGATAAAGCAACACAGGACAAGGGGACTTTGTGGCGGCAGTGTGGGAAGCCACTGTCCACAGGCTTTTCAAAGGTCACTTTCAGAGCATTCCAGTAAGTAGCTGTGCTGTGGTCATGGATGCTCACCTGAAGCCACAACTGTCCTGAGTGTCCAGTGGGTGCCTGACACACAGAATCGAAAGGCTGAAGTTGAGATTCTCCATTCCTGTGAGGATGTGTTCTGGGAAAATGCTGCCCCTTCTATGATGGTGACCTAGCGAAGAACAGGGATCAAAGAGTTTCTTGAAGGTCCAGAGTTCCAAACTAGTGTGTTATACAACATGAATTAAAGATATGGATGTCCAACTAAGGTAGTAAATTAGTCATTATAAATAGACACCTGTCTGTTGTTTTGCCTTTCGATGTTTACACTATTTTACTTTACACATGGTCTCATGGAGAGAATGGAGGTTGTCCTCTCTCTGTATCTCCTTATATTCAGGCATGTATGGCAATTGCTCATCCTCTGAGGTCCCTCTGCACCTTGTTCTGTCCTCACCCTCAAGGTAGGGTCTTCCCTAATGCCAGATGGACCCATTATCCCTGGCTTTCCACAAAGAGCTGGCCCCACTCAGTGCTCCTACGAATGAAGTGACTTTGAGCCAGGAGAAGACAGAAAAGAAGGAAGGAGGGTGATGGGAAAAGGAAGGAGAGAGGAAAGAAGGAAGAGGAGGCAAAGGATTGTGAAGGAATTCGTTTTAGCATCAGTGGCCCTGGCTACTCATCGGAACAATAATGCATTAACAAAGCAATGTACCAACAGAAATATTCTTGGAACCAGGACAACCTGCCCCAACGCCAGTGAATTGGCCCATTCCAGAGGTTGGTTTGATTCTGCAGCATCCCCTCCCCTAGAAGAAAACTAAGCTGCTCCACCAGGCTGGGACCAGTGGCTTTGCCAGAGAGGGAGACCCCTGTCTTGGGACTTGAATGATAGCTGTGTGACTCCTGTGAACTTGCTGCATGGGGCTTCCTGCTTCACACATCTCCAGAAGTGCACCTGTACAGGGATCACACTGTGTCGGGCTGTTCTGGATCCTATGAGTCTCCCAGACTGGAAAACCCACAGAGAATACTCCTCTGATTCACACTTATCTCTTGTGGCCCCCGTTCTGATTCCCCAACAGCCTCCTTAGCAGGACTAGCTGAGATAGCATGGAACCTCTGTCTCTATGTGTTAGGGGATCTGGGACCAGACCTGGAGCTCAGAGGAAAGGGAGGCCCTTGCTCATCTGTGCTCTGTGACCACGGATGCATCCTGTGACCCTCTCCCTCCTCCCCAGACAGTTGGATCTTGTCTCACCAAGGGAGACAGCTTGGGAATTCCCAATTTTGCGTTGCTGACACAGCCTTCTCAGATTCCTCAGAGAGTAGAATTCTTTGCTTCAGGCCTCCAGCTGCTTAGAGGAGCAGGGATGGGAACCCGGGTCAGGGTCTCCAAACAGTGTGCCCTCAAAGTGAGAGAAGACATCTCTGCCAGGGGCTGAGGCACTGGGGCACAGAAAAATGAATTGGGGATCAGAAGCATCCCCACAGGGCCCAGGAGAAGGGCAGGGGCAGGACACCTTCAGACCTGGGCCACAGCCTTCAGTCTAGCTACTCTTGAGCTCTAGCACACAGCCCCCCATCCAGCACACAGACCCCATCCAGCACACAGCCCCCATCCAGCACACAGCCTTCATCCAGCACACAGCCCCCATCCAGCACACAGCTGTCTGCCTTGTCCAGCACACAGATGGCCACCCTCCTCTAGTACCAGCCCTACACTGGGCTACAGGCCCAGGGTAGGTGTTATTGTTGGTTTCCTAGTGTCAGAGGAGCCTCTGGAGCAGTGGGCAGTGGGCAGTGGGAGGCCCTGGTGCCCCTGACAGGCCCAGTCCTAGCAGCAGTGGATGCACTGAAGCTAGGGGGTCCCGGCAGTGGGAGGCCCTGGTGCCCCTGACAGGCCCAGTCCTAGCAGCAGTGGACATACCACAGACATACCACAACTCAAGAAGCCAGAATCCAGGCTGCAGTTGCCCCACAACGCTGTTGTAAAGCTGCCATAGGAGGATTGCAGGAGGGCCCTTAGTCCAAAACCAGCCTGGTCTCCATCATACAGCTCTTGTCTTGCAACACTGGGGACGAGGGATGTGTCTCAGTGACAGAGTATTTGCCCAGCAGGCACAAGGTCCTGGATTTGGTCCCTGGCACTGAGGGGAAAAAAGCCTCAATTTACAAACCTCGGGGTTATAACCCTTCATTTTCCATCTGATGATTACAAAGTGCCAGAAACCAGGTAGCAGACACCAGGCAGCACCCTGTGTGTGCTCAGCCTAAGAGAGAAAAAGAGAAAGGGTGGGGGGGAGGGAAAGGAGGAGGAGGGAACAGCTGAGTTTACTCAGTCAAGGGGGGGAGGGGGACTAAGAGGGTTCTTTGTAGACCAAGAAGCAGGCTCAGGATGCCCACCTGCTTGAAGTGGTACAGCACTGAACAGAGGTCTGAATTTCTCTAGCTTCAAGACCCACACTCATGCTGCACTGCTATTGATGAGCAAATCATTTCTACATGGCACGGAGCCTGGCAGCAATATACCTGGCAGCCAAGGCAAAAAGGGAAAGAAATCTCATGCCATGGTTTTCTTCACGTTGTTTACTTGCAGATTCGTGTTTGATAATGAAGACACTTTGTTAAAGGAGCTCATTTAAGGGCCACAAGAAGACCATGGTTATCCATAGATACATCAGCAATGCTCAATGTAGTAGTCATCTAAAAAGCCAAAGGTGGGTATTTTGGAGGCAACTTGACTAGAAGATGGGGTCATGGGTGCCCAGACTCAATGTTCTTACACTGCAAGGACGGGGCATAGGTGCTCTGATTCATGTGGACACACGGCGGAAGGCTGAGGCAGGACTGGACAGAAGTCAATTCATGATCTTAATAACTTGCATTTGCTATGCAATTACAACACAGAGCCATCTCACAGTGAGTTCTGGGTTCTCTGTGCCTCTTGGGTGTGCTAAGCTTGCAATAACACCTATTTTCTGGATGAGGAAAGTAAAGCCCAGTGCATGCAGGTAGCATACCCATGGTCACACAGGAAGCGTTTGAGCAGATTGTGCTCTGGTTTGCTTAATTCTCAGAGCAACTCAGAGTGGAACAAGAAAGCAAGCTGAGGGTTGGGAGTTGCTTCTGTGGCCCCACGTGTGTCCCCTTCCTTTAATCTTTTCTCTTCCAGCAAGGCAGGGCTTTTATTATCTCCATTCGATACTGCTTGCTGGGAAGCTCAGAGAGGAAAAGCAATTTGTCTAAGACCTCTCAGCCAACCATGACAGGAGCAGAACTAGAACTCCACCCAGCCTGGCTCCACAGTTTGCATTTTTCTTCTCCTGGCCCCTCAAGTGGCTGAAAGTTTGCAGAGGGCCCACTCCACCCTGCCTGGAGCAGCTAGAGTACAGGCCCGTGTTGACCCGTCCAGTCCAATGCTCATCTCTGGCC